GGTACCTTTGTTGAATATCAATTGATTGTCAATGCATGAATTTACTTCTGGGTGCTCTATTGTATCCATTGTTTTTTTTTTGTCTGTTTTTATGCCAGTACCATGCTGTTTTGATTACTATGGCTTTGCAGTAGATATTGAAATCTGGTAGCCTCTAGTTTTCTTTTATTTGCTCAGGATTGTTTTGGCTATTTCGGGTCACTTATGCTTCCATATGAATTTTAGGTGTGTTTTTTTCTATTTCTGTGAAAAATATCATTGGAATTTTGATTGCAATGCCTTGAATCTGTAGATTGCTTTGGGTAGGATGTACATTTAAGCAATATTAGTTCTTTGAATTCATGAACACAGATATCTTTCCATTTGAGTCTTCTTCAATTTCTTTCATCAATGTTTTATAGTTTTTGGCATACAGATCCTTTACATTCTTGGTTAAATAAATTTCTAAACATTTTTGTAGATATTATAAATAGAATTGTTTTCTTCATTTTTTTTTTTTTTTAGAGAGTTCCTTGTTAGTGTATAGGAATGCAACTGATTTTTGTATGTTATTTTATTTCTTGCAACTTTACTGAATTTACTTATTAATTATAACAGTTTTTTGTGACATTCTTAGGAATTTCTTAAAATATAAGATCATGTCTGAAAACAGACACTTTAACTTATTCCTTTCCAATTTGGATTTGTTTATCTTCCCCTTACCTAATCACTCTAGCTAGGACTTCTAGTATAGTACATTGGAGAGAAGTGGGAAGAGTAGATGTCCTTGTCTTGTGCCCGATCTTAGAGGAAAAGCTTTTAATTTCGCTGTTGAGTATAATGTTAGCTCTGAGTCTGTCATGAAAGTGTGTTGAATTTTTTCAAATGCTTTTTCTGCATCTATTGAGATGACCATATGGTTTTGTCCTTAATTCTGTTAATGTGTATACATTTATTGACTTACCTATGTTGAACCATCCTTGTATCCCAGAGATAAATCCCACTTATTCACCATGAATGACCCTTTTAATGTACTGTTAAATTCACTTTGCTAATATTTTGTTGAGGATTTTTACACCTATATTATCAGGGATGTTGACATAACTTTATCTTTTTGCAGTGCCCTTGTCTGGCTTAAGTATCAGAGTAGCACTGTCCTTGCAAACTGAGTTTGAAGGTGTTTTCTCCGTTTTAATTTTTTGGAAGCATTTGAGAATAATTCAAAGTAGTTCTTGAAATGTTTGGTAGAATTTAGCAGTGAAGCCATCAAGTCTTGGCATTTCTTTCACAGGAGAGTTTTTATTACTGTTTCAATATCCTTACTCATCATTGGTCTGTTCAGGTTTTCTGTTAGTTCATGACTCAGTTTTGATAGGTTGCATGTTTCTGGGAATATATTCATTTCTTCTAGGTTATCCAATTTATAGATATCTAATTGTTCACAGTAGACTTATAATCCTTTGTGGTTCTGTGATATCAGTTGTAATGTCTCCTCTTTCATTTCTGATTTGGAGTCTACTCTTTTTTTTCTTAATGTAGTTAGAGGTTTGCCAGTTTGATTTTTTTTTTCAATAAACCAATGCTTAGTTTCATTGATCTTTTCTACTTTCTTCTGGTCTCAATTTTACTTGTTTCTGCTCTGATCTTTATTATTTCTTCTACTAACTGTGCACTTAGTTTGTTCTTTTTCTATTAATAGTTGCTTTAGATGTAACATTAGGTTGCTTGAGATTTTTCTTCTTTTTTGATGTAGACATTTTTTGCTATAAAGTTTCCTCAAAGAACTGCTTTTGCTGCATACTATAATTTCTGGTACGTTGTGTGTCTATTTTCATTTGTGTCAGGATATTTTTATAACTTCCTATTTTAGTTTCTTCTTTGATCCATTAATTGTTCAGGGACATGTTTAATTTCCACATATTGGTAAATTTTCCAAAATTTCTCTCGTAATTCATCTCTGGTTTCATACAATTGTCATCAGAAAACATAGTTGATATGATTTCAATCTTATATATTAGTTAAGGCTTGTTTTATGGCTTGACATATGCTCTATCCTGGAGAATGTTCTATGTGTTCTGGGAAAGAATGTATATGCTGCTGCTGTTGGGTGGAATGTTCTCTACATGCCTTTTAGTTCCATTTGGTCTAAAGTGTAGTTCAAGCCTACTGTTTCCTTCTTAATTTTCTGTCTGAATTATCTGTCCAGTGTTGAAAGTGGGGTATTACTGAAGTCCTCTACTATTTTTTTTTCTTTTTTTTAAAGCTAGTCAAGTGAAGCAGCTGGAGTGGAGAAGAAACAAAGGAATCTGTAACTGGTTGTGATCAATTAAGTTGTAAGCACCATTACACTCAGACCAGCCTGAAGTCCTCTACTATTGTATTGTAGTCTGCCTCTTTCTTCAGATCTATAAATATTTGCTTTATATTTATTCTAATTTTGGGTGCATATGTATTTACAATTGTTATATTCTCTGATGAATTGACCCTTTTATAATTATATAATGACCTCCTTTATCTCTTTCACAGTTTGTGACTTAAGGTCTGGTTTCTTTGGCATAACTATAGTTACTCCTACTCTTATTTCCATTTGCATGGAATATCTTTTTACATCCTTTCACTTTCAGTCTATGTGTGTTCTTAAAGGTGAAGTGGGTCTCAGGTAACATATAATTGGGTCTTGTGTTTTTAAATGATTCAAGTCATTCTATGTGGTTTAAATGGAGAATTTAATCCATTTACATTCAAAGCAATTATTTATAGGTAAGAACTTACTACCGCCATTTTGTTCATTGTTTTGTGGTTGTTTTGTAGATCCTTTGTTACTTTATTCCTGTCTCCCTTTATTATTGGATGATTTTTTTATAATATATGCTTTGAGTACTTACTTTTTATCCTTTTTTAATCTCCTATGGATTTTGCTTTTCATAGTTACCATGAAGCTACATAAATTATACTTTTAACAGGCTATTTAAGCTGATAACTTAACTTTGTATTTTAAAAAAAACAAAAAACAAAAAAAACTACGGTTTTTCCCCACTTACCTCCATTTCCAGAGTTCTTTATCTGTTCGTATGTGTTCAAAGTACTGTCTAGGGTCCTTTCCTTTATCCTGAAAAACTTCCTTGGTAATTCTTTTAGGGCAGTCTACACCAGGGCAAACTCCCTAAATTTTTTTAATCTTACGGATTAACTTAATTTCTTCTTTTTTTTTTTTTTTTTTTTTTTTTTTGAGACGGAGTCTCGCTCTGTCGCCCCGGCTGGAGTGCAGTGGCCGGATCTCAGCTCACTGCAAGCTCCGCCTCCCGGGTTCCGGTCATTCTCCTGCCTCAGCCTCCCGAGTAGCTGGGACTACAGGCGCCCGCCACCTCGCCCGGCTAGTTTTTTGTATTTTTTTTAGTAGAGACGGGGTTTCACCCTGTTAGCCAGGATGGTCTCGATCTCCTGACCTCGTGATCCGCTTGGTTGACAGATCTTTTTTTGTTTGTTTGTTTTCAGCACTTTGTCATTCCACTGCCTTCTTAAACAGTTTCTGATAAAAATTGATAAAAATTGGCTGGTAATCTTATTGAGGATAACTTTTTTATATAAGTCACTTCTCTGTTGCTGCAAATTCACTCTTTATCTTTTGGCAGTTTTATTATATAGCATGTCTGCTGTGATGCACTTTGAGTTTTTCCTCATTGGAGTTCTTTGAGCTTCTTTGATGTATTGATTTATGACATTTATCAAATTTGGGAAGTGTTTGGCTGTAAATTCCTCAAATATTCTTTCTTTCTTATTTCCTGTGACTCTCATAATATGTATATTGGCACACTTGATGATTGTCCTGTAGGTCATTTAGGCTCTGTTCACTTTTCTTCATTCATTTTTCTTTCTGCTCCTCATTCTGGATAATTTCAAATGTCCTATATTCAAGTTCACAAATTCTGTGTCCTGTCTGCTTTAATCTGCCATTGAAGCCCGTGAATAAATCTTACATTTCTGTTATTACACTTTCTACTGTAGAATTTATATTTTTTAAATTTATTCTTTATTGACAGTCTCATTTTTTGCATACATTGTTTGCTTAGCTTCCTTTTGTACTTTGTCAGCTCTTTAAGCATATTTAGGAAAGTTGCTTTAAAATCTTTGTCTAGTAAGTCCAAAGTCCTGGCTTCCACAGGAAAGATTTCTGGTTTTTTGTTTTTTTGGTTTTTTTTTCCTGTGAATGGGACATATTTTCTGTTTTTCTATGTCTTATAATTTTTTGGTGAAAATTGGGCATTTTAAATGTTATAATGTGGTGACTCTGAAAATATCCCCCTTCCCCAGGGGTTGCTATTGTTGATCATTGAGGGCTACAATTACCTTTTTAATGACTTATGTAAACTATTTTTTGCAAAGACTGTATTCTTTGTTTGTGGTGGGTCTGTGATCTGATCCATCATCTAATTGATCAGCCAGTGAACTGACAGAGCTTTCCACAAACACCAGAATTCATCCACCCTCTTTTTTTTTATTAAGCAGTGCCCTGTTAGCTACTAGTTTTGGATTATATTCTGGAGTTCTGAGATCATTGATCTGTCATTCATTGACAGTTTATATTTATTTCCGTGGAGGGACTGATTTTTGGACATCCTATTCCATCATTTTCTATGATGTCACTTACATCTTCTTTTTTGATAAATTTTTTCTTTGATATTAATCTTTTTGTTTTCATATATTCTTTAAATTACTATTTTTGTTTCCTGGGGCTCAGGGAATAAGAGGTTCATGACATGTGAAGTAATTATGTGTTTTCTTTTAATGCTTGACGTTTCCTAACTTGACAACCTGCTAATACATTTCATCCATGCATATATCTCACTATATCCTAGTTGCACAGGTTAAATTGTAAATAAATTCTACTCCTTATATAAGAGAAAGCAAAGTTAGAACATTCAATCTCATTTTATCATTTATAACCAACAATAATACTAAGTTTAAAAACTATATTGATATTTAATTATTTCTATTCACTTTCTCTTCTGTTTTAATTTCAGGATCCATATTTTCCACCTCAAAAAATGAGTGAATATGTAATGGACCCTCATATTGTAGGTAAGATGTTATTTATATATAAATTATTGCAATTTTTGTAGACTTATTCAGTAAAATTGGGAATATGAATTCATATAAAATAATTACCATCAAGACCTTCTTTCAAAAGGTAAATTACACTATGATGACTTTTGATTATTGGCATGAAAACCTGTGGAATTACAGTGTCAGCAGAAAATCAAGGAAAGCAAAATACAGGTGGCCTTAAAATCTGGAAACCTAGATATTTTACCAGTTTTATGATATTAATAAACCAATTATTACATTTATTTATCTGTGTTTCCAAACTTTTTGTCTGCACCATGAATCTTTCTAGTCAGAAGTTTTCTCTAATTCAAGAAGTTGTTCAGTGACCTTATGAAGACACATTTAATGTATCACCCAGCATCATAATAAAAATATTTAACCACCAATATAGCATAAGCCTGGCAAACCAGATTACACAGTTCTGTTGGATGAGTTCTGGAGACCCACTGCTGTGCCATGTTAGAGTTGAGGGAAATGGAAGATTCCTAAGGGAATCAAGGTAGTCAGGACAATATATGTAAGGTGACAGTTGAATATCTTGAGGTAGCAACTTTTTTTGTTTGTTTAAGTTCTGGGATACATGTGCAGAACATGCAGGTTTGTTACATAGGTATGCATTTGCCATGGTGGTTTGCTGCACCCATCGACCTGTCATCTAGGTTTTAAGCCCTGCATGCATGAGGTATTTGTCCTAATTCTCTCTCACCCCTTGCCCCCCACCCATCGACAGGCCCTGGTGTGTGATGTTCCCCTCCCTGTGTCCATTTGTTCTCCTTGTTCAACTCCCAGTTGTGATGAGAACATGCAGTGTTTGGTTTTCCGTTCCTGTGTTAGTCTGCTGAGGATGATGGTTTCCAGCTTCATCCATGTCCCTACGAAGGACATGAACCCATTCTTTTTCATGACTGCACAGTATTCCATGGTATATATGTGCCACATTTTCTTTATCCAGTCTATCTGTGATGGGCATTTGGGTTAGTTCCAAGTCTTTGCTATTATAAATAGTGCTGCAATAAACATGTCATGTGCATGTGTTTTTATAGCAGAATGATTTATAATCCTTTGGGTATATACCTGGTAATGGGATTGCTGGGTCAAATGGTATTTCTGGTGCTAGATCCTTGAGGAATTGCCACACTGTCTTCCACAATGGTTGAACTAGTTTACACTCCCACCAACAGTGTAAAAGCATTCCTATTTCTCCACAGCCTCACCAGCATCTGTTGTCTCCTGACTTTTTAATGATTGCCATTCTAACTAATGTGAGATGGTATCTCATTGTGGTTTTGACTTGCATTTCTCTAATCGTCAATGATGATGAGCTTTTTTTCGTGTTTGTTGGCCACATAAATGTCTTCTTTTGAGAAGTGTCTGTTCATATCCTTTGCCCACTTTTTGATGGGGTTGTTTTTTTCTTGTAAATTTGTTTAAGTTCCTAGGAGATTCTGGATATTAGACCTTGTCAGATGGATAGATTGCAAAAATTTTCACCCATTCTGTAGGTTGCCTGTTCACTCTGATGATATTTTTTTTTGCTGTGCAGAAGTTCTTTAGTTTAATTAGATCCCGTTTGTCAATTTTGGCTTTTGTTGCAATTACTTTTGGTGTTTTAGTCATGAAGTGACTATGTCCTGAATGGTACTGCCTAGGTTTTCTTCTAGGGTTTTTATGGTTTTAGGTCTTACATTTAAGTCTTTAATCCCTCGAGTTAATTTTTGTATAAGCTGTAAGGAAGGGATCCAGTTTCTGTTTTCTGCATATGGCTAGCCAGTTTTCCCAGCACAATTTATTAAATAGGGAATCCTTTCCCTGTTGCTTGTTTTTGTCAGGTTTGTTGAATATCAGATGGTTGTAGATGTGTGGTATTATTTCTGAGGTCTCTATTCTGTTCCATTGGTCTATATATCTGTTTTGGTACCAGTACCATGCTGTTTTGGTCACTGTAGCCTTGTAGTATAGTTTGAAGTAGGTAGCATGATGCCTCTAGCTTTGTTCTTTTTGCTTAGGATTGTCTTGGCTATATGGGCTCTTTTTCGGTTCCATATTAAATTTTAATTTTTTTTTTCTAATTCTGCAAAGAAAGTCTATGGTAGTTTGGTGGGAATAGCGTTGAATCTGTCAATGCTTTGGGCAGTATGGCCATTTTCATGGTATTGATTCTTCCTATCCACGAGCATGGAATGTTTTTCCATTTGTTATGTCCTCTCTTATTTCCTTGAGCAGTGTGGTTTGTAGTTCTCCTTGAAGAGGTCCTCACATCCCTTGTAAGTTGTATTCCTAAGTATTTTATTCTCTTTCTAGCAATTGTGAATGGCAATTCCCTCATTATTTGGCTGTATAGGAATGCTTGTGATTTTTGCACATCGATTTTGTATACTGAGACATTGCTGAAGTTGATTATCAGCTTAAGGAGTTTGTGGGCTGAGATGATGGGGTTTTCTAAATATACAGTCATGTCATCTGTAAACAGAAACAATTTGACTTCCTCTCTTCCTATTTGAATACCTTTATTTCTTTCTCTTGCCTGATTGCCCTGGCCAGAACTTCTAATACTATGTCAAATAGGAGTGGTGAGAGAGGGCATCCTTGTCTTGTGCCAGTTTTCAAAGGGAATGGTTCCAGCTTTTGCCCATTCTGTATGATATTGGCTATGGGTTTACCATAAATAGCTCTTATTATTTTGAGCTCCATCAATATCTAGTTTATTGAGAGTTTTTAGCATGAAGGGTGTTGAGTTTTATTGAAGGCCTTTTCTGCATCTATTGAGATAATAATGTGGTTTTTGTCACTGGTTATGTTTGAGGTAGCAACTTTTTACCAATTAGTGTATAACAGTGTTTTACTATTCTTGCAATGGGGACTGTCACAAGTGTGTAGTGACTGGATAACCATTTAGAGCAGACTGAAGTAATCTAGTTAAAATGAAGAGAAAATAATAAGATAGCTGAAACACCACTTGGTATAGAAGGAAGATGATCAAGCAATCATATATCATTGTAAGCATTATAAGCATTCTTGAGTTATAGAGAGAACATTCCAATTAAGGACTTGTGGGTAAAAGAATAAAAGGAAAGTATGGTTGAGAAGTATAGTTTTAGAATAAAGTTCCCAATTGGAAATTTTAGCTTAGCTTGAATAGTAGAATGCAGAGAAATAAAGGATTTTTAACATGATTAGAATTTAACGCTTTAGCCATATTCATACATCTGTTTCATACAGTAATGCCAGTTCTAAGAACATACATTGGGATGCAGAAAGCTATTTTAGAATGTAGGATGTCAGTCTCAGGAACTAACAGTTTAAATGCTAGGAAAATTTTAAGGTATTTAATCCCCAGTGACTCTGGTGAGAGCTCAGCAAAAGGAAGAGAGCTGTATGAAAAGTCTGAAACTTCTTAGGGATTACATAAGTGGTTGTTATGAGAATGATGGTCAAAATACAGACCTGAAAGGCAATTCTGATGAGGTTTCAGATGGGAATGAGGAACCAGGTATTGAAAACTGGAGTAAAGGTTATCCTGTTATAAAGTGGCAGAGAACTTAGCTAAATTGTCTCCATGCCTGAGGGCTTTATAGAAGGCAGAATTAAGAGTGATGAACAAGGCTATTTGGTGAAAGAAATTTCTAAGCAAAATATTGAAGGAGCTTCATGATTTCTTTTAACTGCATATAGTAGAATGTAAGAGAAGATAAATGATTTAAAGATAAAATTTATAATTAAAAGGGAAGCAGAAAGGAAATATTTTAAAAATTCACAGCCCAGCCAATGTAAAGAATGGAAATGCATGTTTAGGAAAGCAAACCAAAGATGTTGCCAAGTTGCTGTTTGCTAACAAAATTAGCATGACTAGTAGGGAGCCAGGTGATATTCATCAAGAAAATGGAAGAATGGCCCAGAAGGCATTTCAGGGATCTTAAAGGCAAACTAGGAACTTGAGGGCAAGGTTTCCAGAGAGGAGCCCATGGGACCTCAACATTCACTCTCTGTGCCACCTCAGGTGTCTTATCCCCACATTTTAGCAAAGGCCTTCTTGGACACCCTAGCAGTGGCTTAAGCCAACCTGGGTGCAGCTCCTGTTTTCACTCCACAGAGTACAAGTGGTAAGTCTTGGTGGCATTCATATGATGCTAATTCTGCAGGTGCACAGAGTTCATAAGCTACCTCCACCTAGATTTCAAAGGATATTGTGGACAGCCTGGGGACCCCAGGCAGAAACTTGTCGCAGGGCTCGAGCTTTTGTAGAGAGCTACAGTGAGGGCAATGTCCAGCAGAAAGGTGACGTTTGGGCTCTTGCAGAGACATCAGAACTGTAGAGCTACTCACGTGCAATGCCAGCCTGGGAGAGCTGCCGGCAGAAGACCCTAACCCATTAGAGCTGCTATTTGGGTTAAGCCTAGCAAAGCTGTGGGAATGCAGCTGCCTGAGGCCTTAGGGACCCAACGGCTGCCCCATTGTGCCCAGAAGGTGGGACATGGAGTCAAGAAAGATTATTCTGGAGGCTTAACATTTGATGTGCACTCCATTGGATTTTGGACTTACTTGTGAGCATTAACCTCTTTCTTGTCTATTCCTCCCTTTTGCAATGAGAATGTCTCTTTCATGCCTGTCCCACCATTGTATTTTGGAAACAGGTAACTTTTTTAATTTCACAGACTGACAACTAGAAGGGAATTTATCTCAGGATAAATTGTGCCTGACTCTCGCCCATATCTGATTTTGATGAGACTATGGACTTTTGAGTTGGTGCTGGAATGAGTTAGGAATTTGTAGCTATTGGGATGGAATGAATGTATTTTGCATGTAAGAAGAACATGAGTTTTGGAGGGCCGGGGTAGAATATTATGGTTTGAATAGATCCCTCAAAAGCATGTGTTGGAAATGTAATGCCCAATGCAACAGTGTTGGGAGGTGGGACCTTTAAGAGGTGATTAGTTCAGGAGATCTTCACCCTCATGACTGGATTAATGCCATTATCACAGGAGTGGATTATCAGCAAGCATGGGTTCCTTATAAAGGATGCATTTGCCCCTATTTGTCTCTTGTCCTCTCTTGTCCTCTTGCCTTCCACCAAGGGAATAACAGTGTCAGAAGGCCATTGCCAGATGCTGGCACCTTGATATTGGACTATCCAGCTTCTAAAACTGTGGAAATAAATTTCTGTTCCTTATAAAATACCCAGTCTCAGATATTCTTTATGGCAACACAGAACAGATGAAGATAGATACCCATAAAGCTTTTGTTCTAATATCCTTTGGATTCTTCAAACCATAGGCAGACTTTTGGAGTAAATCTGATGGAATAAGCTCCTTATTCTATTATTTCCAACTACTCATTGGAAGGGGGGAAATTATTCTACCAAGTAATAAAAAATGTTAATGAGGGTATAAAGTAGATCCCATCCCTGCTTTACCACTAACTAGTTCTGTGACCTTAGACAATCATTTGTCTTGTAAAAGCATTACTTTCCCAATTTTAAAAATAAGAGTAAACTAGATACCAAGAATAAATATTTCAATGCTTCTTTGTAATTGCGTTATATTGCCTTATTTGGTCTTTAAAACTTTGTACATGCTACACATAGATTAAATTATTTAATTTTCATCCAACCCTGTGAGGTTGACACTGTGAATTTCCTTTTACATATGAGGCAACAAAGACATTTTGGAAAGTCTGAGTAATTTGAAAATTTATAAAAGATGTATATGAAACAAGCCAGTTGTCCAGTTTCCTCTGAAGAGTCTTTGTAAGCACTGTCCAATCTATGGTGTATCTAAAATTTAAAATAAATACTTGGGAGGGGAAAACAGGGCCTGTTTTCTTACTGCCCACCACTATCTTGCTCTTGGGCAGGTCATTAACTTTTCTGGAATTTTTCTCATCTTTAAAATGAGAGAGGTAGTTTCAAGAGTGTTGGATTGTCTGTTACTCTAAACATCTATATTCCTAGAATTATGTCTGAACAGAGCCTTTAAAAACTATATAAATAAGATTTCAAAATATATATGTAAAATGTTTTTTTGTCATATGTTGCATTATACTTTTCCATTTACTTATGCAGACCGGTCTTATACAATTAACCCAATAAATTATATACATTATATAATTATATTACATAAAATGTATTTATGTTATATAAAATGAAATCAATGCATTAAAGAGTTTAGTAGTGCTCACATCACACTCTCATTGGTTCTTAGAATTATCATTACCTGTAAGCAAATTAGAGGTGTGTGCCTAGTCCAGTTACTTTGAAGCTACTTTCATAAAGACCCTCCGACTCCTAGTATTTATGCACATATATTTTATCCTAGGCTGACAGTATTTATGCATGTATATTTTAGACTAGGCTGACAATTTTTCATTGAAGATCTTGGTCATTCCACTCCCTGCTTTGTCATTGTCTTAGTTTGTTATATAAGGTTCCTCTCTAGGGATGTGAATTTAATTCTTTAGGAAATCTAGAATTATTCATGAAAGACATCTAGAATGTAAACTTTCTGCACAGCTTTACGGAGTTGGGTATCTATAGCAAATGTGTGATGGAAGATTACCCAAATGACTGCTAGAAGACAGGCTAAAATGAGGTAACTCCAAGAAAGATAAGTAAAGCCATTTTTTTAGTACTTCCAGTGAAGCACAGCTTTGAATAATGTACATAATCTTTAGCAGTCACAGAAAAGGATAGAAGCACCAGGAGTTCAATGATAAGATTTTTAAAATTTTTTTGATTTTTTGATTTATTTTTTGAACTAACATTAAGAGCCAGAGTCAAAACTAAAAGTACTAGATACAAACATTTACTATAATCTGTCTACAAGAGTGTATCTTCTGTACATAAAAGTACAGAGCATGGTGACATTTAACTTTAATCACTTAATGTATGCATTTCAACATTACTACTGAACATAGTAGTTGGTCATTAGGTGACAGACCCAGCGGTGCAATGTGTCAAGTGTTAGAGGATAGGGGGTAGTAATGATAGCAGTGTTGACCTGAAAGGAAAAAGTGAAGGCAAAATTATATTGGCAGACAATCTATTTGGGCCAAGCTTGAGGACAGCAACCCAGGAGCATAGACTCAAGTTGCCCTAAATATACACTCCAATTAGCAGCAGTTACAAGGGTATTTTTAAAGGAAAAGAAGAGGCAGTTTCTAAGTTGTTTACCAAAAATTTCCATTAAGATAACATAAGGTATAGATTGGCTATACATTTTTTGTTTGTATTACAAATTTCTGAAACATGAAGATAATAAGTGGAGGAGCTAACCAGTAACAAAATGACTTTAAGCAATTGCCCCCAGGCATGGGCGTGGAAGTGGGGTGGTGGGGGGTGGGGGTCATGACTGAAGTCCCATATTCATGTTTCTCTGGGCCTAATAAATTTTTCTTACCTTACGTAGCTCAGACTCTGACCCATTTTTCTTTTCTCAGTAACAATATCAACAAAATTATATTTATTTTGTGCTGCTTATATTCCAGACACAGTGTTATTATATGCCTTAACCCTCTCAACTGAAGAATCACAATGTTCATAAATTTTGGAAAAAAGAGCTTTATTTCTTAAAAAGGGTTGCAGCCTGTAGGTTGGCCAACCACATACTGGGAAGCATAGCTTTGGGCAGAAGCTGGAAGCAGACACTTTTTTTTTTTTTTTTTTTTGAGACAGAGTCTTGCTTTGTCACCCAGGCTGGAGTGCAATGGCGTGATCTTGGCCCTCTGCAACCTCTGCCTCCCAGGCTCAAGTGATTCTCCTGCCTCAGCCTCCTGAGTAGCTGGGACTACAGGTGCACGCCACCACACCCAGCTAATTTTTGTATTTTTAGTAGAGACAGGGTTTCACCATGTTGGCCAGAATGGTCTCAATCTCTTGACGTCGGGTTCCACCCACCTCAGCCTCCCAAAGTGCTGGGATTACAGGCCCGTGAGCCACCGTGCCCAGCCTGAAGCAGGCACTTTGAGAGAGGAAAGGATGAGAGAGGAATTTATGCTAAACAGGTTGGCTATATATTTAACAAGTTATAGGAGGAGCTATGAATATTAATGACAAGTGGGACATGTGCATGTGTAGTAAGCAAACATACGTGTTACATTCTTCCTATGTTCACGTTGGGCTGGAGACTTAACATTTAAATGTGTTAAGATTAGACTCCGTACATCAAAAGTTGAAATGGAGGACACAGGGGCATCCTGTGTGCAGTCTCCATAAACTGGCCAGAACCAGCCCGTGGTGTTGGTGGGGGCGGGGGTAAGTCTCTTATCAAGAAAGAATGCTGATCAGTTGCTGTGTCAAAATTACAAAAGGGAGGGGCAACAACAGGCAGCTGGCTGAAATCAGCTGGAGAATAAATCTTCTGAAAGGGTCGGTTTCTGTTTAACCATTAGGAAAGAAAGCCTAATGATGGTTAGCAAAGGAAGGGGTATAACAAGGCATGACCAACCTCCCATCCCATCATGGCTGGGAACTCAGTTTTTAAGGTTTATCTGGGGTCCACTGGCCAAGAGGGGGTCTGCTCAGTTGGTTGCAGGGCTGAGGATTTAATTTTTGTTTCTTAGCCATTAAATCACACAACAACCTTATAGGGAGGATCTTCGTCTTTTGACAAATAAGGAAACTGAGGCTGAAGGAGGCCAAATGACTTGTCCAAAGTTAGACACATAGTCACAGAAACTGTGTCTAAGCAGTCTCCTCCAGAGCCTGTGCTCTTAACTGTGCTCTCATAATCACTAAAGATGTGTCTGTAAAATACACTTCTCAAATGCCACAAGTGCCAGCTTATTTACATAATCATTTTCTTCATTCTTTTCCAGATGGGTTAATACAAGATAAACCCTACAGACCGAGAAATATAAATAGAAAGGGAAAAGCAGTAAGTAGATTGATATATCCTTTAAAAACCACCGTTAGCATTTTACATTGTTTTGAATTAATATTTACTGATGGTATTCTGCCAGAAAGAAAGTACATACTTCATTATTATACATTTTATACATTTATACATTGATTATAAATCAACTTTATCATATATTTTATAGTTACTTATAAATTTATAAATTATTATAAAGTAATACAAATGTAACATCAACTTTAGGCTACACTACTTGTTGCTTCTACCTCCCCCCAAATAGTTATTGCTTAATAGGCAAACCACAATAGCACTGGAAAAGCACAGGCTATGGCTGCCCATCTATTGGGACATGAGCAATTTTAAAGAAGCCACTTTTCTCATCCCAATTTCCCATTAATACTTAAAGTTAACTATTTTGGATTTCATTCTTTGAACTTCGAAAATGTTTAATTGTTCAAGATTCAGTTGTCTAAATGCCATGCCAGGCTAACAGCAATAAATATTTCAGAAATGGAACAGGAATGTGTAGCTTGAGATGAAAATCAGGCAAGAAAGAAATATTTTAATGACAAATAAGAGAAAGAAAATGGTCTACCTCATATTTTGCACTCAGAAGGCAAGAACCATGCTCATACAGTGGAGAAAATTCCAAGTGCCAAAAGAAGTGTCAGTGCTTTCTTGTAATTTTTAATGATTAACTTTCTTAATCTAAGAAATCAGAACCCTATGCTAATACTCTTGTAGAGAGTAAGATTTGATATAAGAATTTCTTGGACTTCATGCAGTAGGCTTTAGTCACTTTAAAGACAGCAATTCCAAATTTTTCAGAATATTACTGATCCTACAATTCAGTCCAGTTATCCCAATAAGCCATTAAGTGTTGTGGAAATTTTAATGTTTTGGTGCTTACACTATTTATTCCAGACTGACTCATACATCTAAAAATAGTATGAGAATTCCATCAGATTATGTGGCCAAACTTTTATTTAGGGAAAAAAAAAAAAAATCACATACCTATAAGGTACTAGGTTGTTCCAGAAGGAGCACAAGATTTCAAGCCTGAAGACCCGGATTCTGGCACCAGTCTCTTCATTCATTATTTATAAAACATTTATGGAAATACATACTATATAGCAGACACCATGCCAGTTAATATTTAAAGAGACTATGCTACATAATGGGTACCATGTTAAGCTTTTTATGGCCATTATTTTATTTAATCCTTACAAAAAATGGGCATTATTATTATTTTCATTTTGCAGAGGAGAAAACTGAGTCTCAGTGAAATTAGATAACTTGTATAAGGTCACAGTCAGTAAGAAAGTTGGAATTTGACCCTACAGTGCATAAAATTAATGTACTTATCTCCTGATCCCCGACCTTCAGAAATTAAAAATATATTAGTGAATGTGGTTGACGGAAAAGTAGGCACAGAATTACAGCTATACTAGATGGAGGCACAGGGTGTTTTAGGAGCATCCTGTGAAAAGCGCACTTAACAGGAACCTGGCAGGAGAGGGAGGGTAGAGGTTGGTAATGAAAGGCCTTTTTAAACAAAAAAAGGTGATTCAATGAAACAACATATGTAAAATATTTTCCAGTGCCTTGCATATACATTACCCATTGTTTTGGCTGAATTCAACTGAAGTCTCATAGCAGTAGCATTCTCAGGACCATTCAAACAATTAATATTTTAATAGCATCATTGAGCTGGAGAACTTGAGATTTTATGTCGATTCCAATTCAATATATTTTTACAAAGACACATTTTATCAGAAAAATGCAGCTCTGAGTCCAAGAGACTCAGAGACACCTAAAAAAGTATAAACCATCTCCTAAATGCCAGTGTACCAAAATCTTTAATCATAGTTGTCATTTTTCTCCACCAGAATGTAAGCTCCTTGAGAGCTAGGAGATTGTATGTCTTGTATTCCCCCACATCTGGAACAGTGTCAGATACTTTAGCATTCAACAAGTACTTTTTGAATGAGTACCTACTATGTGTCAGGCACTATGGATACAAGAATGAAAATAATACAGCCTTTGACTTCAAAGACCTTACAGCCAGGTAGAGGAAAATATGTACTTGGAGCAAATCAGTAATATATCAGTATTATATCGGTAATATAATTGTTCTAAAAGGAGATACAAAGAATGGTAGGTATAGGCAAAGTAGTACCTGTTATTAAAGATGATCTGACAGTTGGCTTGAGATTGGGCCTGACTCCATATTAACTATGGCAGCTCAGGTGCTTTGGCACATTACTACCTGTTTAGTTCACTGCCATAACCAAAATACCATAAAGTGGGTGGTATATAAACAACAGAAATTTATTTTTCACATTTCTGGAGGCTGGGAAATCTAAGACCAAGGGCTCCTGCATTTTCAGTGTCTGGCGAGGGCGCACTTCCTAGTTTACAGGCTGCTATGTTCTTGCTGTGCCTTCACATGGTGGAAGGGGTAAAAGAGTTCTCTGGGGTCTCTTTTATAAGGACAGTAATCCCACTCATGAGGGCTCTGCCCTTATGACCTAATCAGCCCTAAACAGGCCCTACCTCCAAATACCATCACACTGGGGATTAGGTTATCAACATTACTTTTGGGTGACATAAGCATAGAAGAAACATTCTCATTGCAAAAGGGAGAAGTAGGAAAGAAAAAAAGGAGTAACAAGTCCCAAGTAGGTCCAAACTACAAGGCAAACTCTGAGATCTTAAGGCTTGAGAATAATCCTCTTTAGCTCAGTGTTCTAGAACCAAGGTCCTGCCTTCTGGACTCACTGTGGTAGGAGTCTTGCCTTATGGACCCACTTGGATAGAGATCCTGCCCCAACACCTTTACTAGGCAGGGATGGGACCCCCAAGGCTCCAAGCAGCTCTGCTCCCATGGCTTTGGGTGACTGCAGTCCCACAGCTTTGGGCAGGGGCTCCATCTGACCTGTCAAAATTGAGGCAATGGTCTCCCCTTTTGAAACTGAGGAAGCAGCCCTGATGATCTCTGAATTGCCTTTGGGGTTGTTTTTTCCTTTTTCTTGAAGAGTAGTGCCTGGCTTCTGTTGAGATGACTGATGAAGTCTGTGCTTCACACTTACACTAATCTTTTTATTAAATGGTTGCTTGGCTATACCCTTAGCATTGTCTCCCAAACATGCGTTCTCATTTTTTGCAATATGGATAGCTTAAGAATTCACCAAATCTTTAAGTTCTAGTTTCTTTTTGCCTAACAAGTCTATCTTTAAGTGATGTCTTTCCTCTCACATTTTACAATAAGCATTCAGGATGACCCAAGCCATACTTTCAACACTTTGCTTAGAAATTGCTGCAGCCAAATACAGCCATCCCCTCTGCTCCACAGGGCATACATTTCAACATCCCCAGTGGATTCCTGAAACCACAGATTTTACCAGACATTATATGCTTTATGTTTTTTCTATACATACATATCTATGATAAAGTTTACTTTATAAATTAGGCATGGTAAGAAGTTAACAACATCTAATAATAAAATAGAACAATTATAATATACTGTAATATAAGTGATATGAATGTGGTCTCTCTCTTTCTCTCAAAATGTCTCATTGTGCTATAGTCACCCTTCTCCTTGAGATGAAGTAAGATGATAAAAGATGGGTACTAAGTGATTAATGGCTGGGTAGTGTATACAGCATGGATGTGGTGGACAAAGGGATTGTTCCCATCCTGGGCAGGATGGGGTAGGATGTAGTGGGATGCCATGAGAGTTCAACATATTACTCAGAGAAACTAGACTTCAGTGCAAAAAAAATAGCCAAAAAGAGGAATGCTATATAATAATAATATCATCAATTCACAAAGAAGACATAATAATCCTAAAGCAACAGAGCCTGGAAATGCATAAGCCAAAATCCAATAGAGCTGAAAGAGGAAATAAAATCCTCAATTATAATTGGGGATATCAACACCCACTCTCAGCAATTTATGGAACTACTAGGCAGAAAATCAAGTATATAAAAGTCTGGAATAACAGTCAACTAATAAGATCTGACACTCTGCCCAACAATATAGCAGATATACATTGTCTTCACATGCTTATGGAACATTCACCAAGATAGACCATATCCTGGGTCATAAAACAAAGTTCAGCAAATGTAGAATAATTAAAACCATATGAAGTATGTTATTTAACCATAATGGAATATAAAGGAATTCAAAGGATTTGGGGGATGATCAAGGAAAAAACTATGGCCATGAAGTGGCAGTGGTACACAAAACTTTATTTGGATGATGCTTTGACAGGTTCACATGCTGGAGTAGTCCCTTATGGCATGAGACTATCCAGAAGTGATAGCATGGGGTGGAGAAGAGCACCACTCAGAAGGAAAGGAAATTCCCAGGGGAGAAGAGTGTCAGAAAAGGGGGTTACATATCTACGTGCTTTCACTCAGTAACCTGGCAGGGAGTCTCTACATCACAGAGCTCCAATGGGCAGCAGAGGTCTGGGGCCTTTATATTCCTAAGTTTTATCTAATCTATGGCTAGCAGATGCTGGGCACAGTTCTGTGGGGCATGCAAAGCAGGTAGGCTCTAAATAGCCAAAAATATGCTTATTTGTGTTATATTTAAAACAATTTGATACATACAAATTTTAGTCTTCTGCTAACAGACTTATGAGATAATGAGTCTCAGCCTGCCGTGAAGAAGTAAACAACTGTATTGGTTAGTTTTTACACTGCTATAAAGAACTACCTGAGACTGGGTAATTTTTAAAGAGAAGAGATTTAATTGACTCTCCGTTCCACATGGCTGGGAGGCCTCACGAAACTTACAATCATGGCAGAAGGCAAAGGAGAAGCAAGCACCTTCACAAGGTGGCAGGAGACATAGCAAGGGGGGAAGTGCCATTCTTTTAAACCATCACATCTCATGAGAACTTAACTATTACAAGAATAGCATGGGGGAAACCAGCCGTATGATCCAGTTTCCTCCCACCGGGCCCCTCCCCAACACATGAGGATTACAATTCAAGATGAGATTTGGATGGG